GGTGATCAGCTGGATCAGAGCTTCCTCTGCCATTCTGGGACTGTAGCTCCAGGCTGTTATGGGGAAGAAAGACTTGAGCTTTAGATTTTTTATAAATCTAATTGCTTTCTATTTTCTTTTTATACTGCAGAAAACTGCTCATCTGAAACACTTCACTGCTAATGCCGATCATTTCAGTAGGGAAGCAGTTTAAAAGTTTGAAAATGATGGAAAAACTGAAGCTTACTGCTATGCAACAGGACGAATGGCACCACAGCGACAAAAAGTGGCCGTTTTAGGACACTGCTTTATAGTGAATCACTTGTTTCAGTTTACAGGGAAGGGAAAATAACATTATTATGAACATTATTATGAACATTAATATCCAGAACAGTAAAGCTTTATGATCCATTATGTAGACATCTTTTTGCCTCTTGGGAATCTGCTTAGGTGTCAGACTGTCCTGATTTAATTTTTATATGATGTAATCTGATCATAACAATATAAACATGAAATCAGGTCTGGGACCCTCAGGCTGATTGTTTGGAGCAGTAAAGCCTCTGCTCCAGATGCCAGGCTAAGCTCTAGGTGTGTTGGAGAAAGGAAACATCTAAAAGCTGCAGGATATCAGCCCTCAGTAACAAGAACTGCCCACCTGTTCTAGAGAGCCACTGACTGCAACAGACTGAAGACATTTCTTTTTTATTAAGTCATTAAAACTGATCCCAGATCTACTGTACAGCAGAATATGGGTGTAAAGAAAAGGAGGATTAAGACAAAAAAAAGAATGAATGAAAAAAATGAATTTTTTCTTGCTTAATAAATGTGTCTTTACTAGACTGTCTTCTTTATTTTCATTAATACATAAATAGAAAACAAATATATTTTCTTAGAATGTTATTTCAGATTTTTGTGAATTTGCTAAGTATCACCAAACTAATGAGATGTTAAACGTCTGTTTCTGTTTTTTTTTAAACAGTCAGTCATAATTTCTGTCATTCTTATGATAGATATAGAATGACAGAATATGTAACTACTCTATCTAAACACACTGTAATGGGGACCAGGAGTCCCATTACCCCTAAAATATGATTATTGATTTTGTGTTATGTAATAAGTTGGAGCAAATAGTTGGGTTGTTTGAGTTCTTTATTGTAGATTTTTTGGACATTTTTGGCATGCTTTTTCTGATGCAGAAGGACTGGCCATCCTGCCTGTGGAAAGTGTAAACATTAATGTCAATTATTCTTCCTTATTTTCTGTTTATAATAAGTGAAAGTACCTTCCTTTTCCTGGTTTGGCTCCGCAGCATGGCGTGGCTGAAAAGGTAGAAGTGCTGCAGGTGCAATGCACTTGGAGCAAATCAAAATGATCAGGAGGGTAGTTTGGGATGAGTTTTGTTAAGTTTGATGGGTTTTTGTGATTGACTTTAGATTTGTTTAATTGTATTGATTTCTATGTATGTAAATAGTACTTCAGGTGTATAGTTTATTGTTTTGGTTTAGGTTTGTATATTAATTTTGCATCTTTTTCTTAATAATCCCTTTCCATGGTTCCTTCCTTCATGTCACCTGAGTTGAATTTGGTATAACATGCTGTTTGTTCTTTTTAATGTATGAAGGTGTTGGTGTGCACAAGCTGGAGATCAATAAATGTTTATTTTGTCTTGCGTCTCTATTAAATATTGGGCCTCTACCGGTCAAGCTGACACACACTAAGGAGGCAGAGTTTAAAAATGATGAAATTCACAGTCCTATCTAGGCAAACAGAGCATCATCGCAGGTTCAGGTGTTTTTTACTACTTTACTGTATTATCAGTCAGTTAGTGATGCAGAAAGCATGATGGAAACAAAGGAGATGTTCCCTCATGGAGGTAAAGACCTGAAACCAGCTGCAGAGGGAGGTGGAGCTGCACAGGTATCAGGAAGGGCCTCACATGCTGCTTTCACTTTCACTTTTCTACTCTGCAGCTACTGTTGCTCAGACATCTTTGTTTAGTCCTGTAAAATCAGACTCATCAGCATCATCAGGAGGATCTAACAAACACTCTCTGCTGAACGAAGGTGAGCAAAGATCTAACATCTTTGGGCCGGATCTATCAAAGGTTTGCGT